CAGAGACCAGGCACATAGTAGATCCATTCATGGATATGACTAGGGGGATGGGTTGTAGTATCATATGTTCTTTACTTCCAACTAGTGTGTACTCCTAGAAATGAAGCTTTAGGCAAACAAAAGTTCTTTATACTCAGAACCTAGGACCTGGATGATCAATTTGTGATGATCATCCAGTGATGAACCAATTTTTTCTTAATAAATTGTACAGGTTAAGTCTGTGATTAGGTGCCAAAAAGGTTTATATGTGGTTGAAGGCTCTCTCAAAGTTATTTGAAAGAACAGGGCAGCTGTGGGAGAGAATGGAGGTGTCTCCAAGAAAGGCTCTCTGGGTTATAGTATGGACAGTATAGCGATACATATGGATGGGTCCACCTAATGCTGCCTTTGAGTTACCCTGTGATGAAAATGTTCTTATATATATATATATATATATATATATATGTTAGTAAGGATATATATATATTTTTTTGTTGTTGTTGATGGTGGTGGTGGTGAGGAAGATTGGCCCCTGAGCTAACATCCATTGCCAATATTCCTCTTTTTGCTGAGGAAGATTAGCCCTGAGCTAACAGCTGTGCCCATCTTCCTCTATTTTATATGTGGGATGCCGCCACATCATGGCTCGATGAGCTGTATATAGGTCCGCTCCCGGAATCCAAACCCATGACCCCTGTGCTGCCGAAGCAGAGCATGCAAACTTAACCACTACACCACCGGACCAGCCCGTCCTCTTGTATTTCTGGCCTTATGAGAAGATCTATGATTTTTTGCCTAACCCCTATTTCAAGATTTGGTGTTGATACTCCACGAAAACATGTCAGACCATTATCTCTACCCAAGCCTGGATTATGTGACTCCTATGTATTCCAGTATCACTTGTTTTCACTTTCGTAGCCCATTTTATGACATAACACATGAGACTTGCAACATTCTCACCCTCAAGGAGACCATATATTCCGTAGGGCCATGGATTATTGTATCTACTACAGTATCTTGAATAGTTAGTTTAGAGCCTGATGCATCATATGCACTCAAGTATTTGTGAATGAATGGCTCAGTGTCAATTTAGATTAAAAGATTTGGCCTTGTGGTCACTGTTCCCACCATCATTCCAAGCCTAGAAGAACACAACTAAAGTGGAAAGGCTGAGATAGAAATGTTGGCTGGAGTAACTGAAGAGTAAGGAAGACTTGAGTCCAGATAACACAACTTCTTTGCTTTTATGGGAACCAGGAAGGCATTCCACTAGTCTTAACTCCTCCCCACCAGAAATTCCAACAATCTGATTTGTTCACTTACAAATCCCCATGAGAAGATTAAAGGGAGTGGCTTTTCATTAGTGTGTTAGTATGAATGAGTTGAATCTTATTGCCTTTTTGACACTTGTGAAATAGGAGTTTGAAGTGTGGGTAAACTAACTCAAGGCACTTAAAGGGACCATAACTGGGGCTCTCTGGCTAGTAGGAAGATGTTGGACCCTAGAGGGCGGGGAAGATGATTATTCCAGTATATGGAAGAGGAAGCACAAGAAGAGGATGATGACAGTACCAGTGAACACTTTCCTGCTTTGTAATCCTTCTCAGAGTCTTAACCTTGATCCTAGAGGCTAAATGAAAAGTCAAGCATAAATTTGGAAAATGGAGTCCAAAAGGAAGGGTAACTGCTGACAACACCTACCCTTTCATTTTCCCAAGTGGCTATTGCATCCCTGTGGGGTTGAATTCCTTGGGACCAGATTCTGAGATGGAGATTTGTGTGCAGGAAATTTCATGGGGAGTGCTTGGGGAATAACATCTCTCAGGTGGGCAAAGAAAGCATGATTAAGCAGAGGGAGAAGTTTGGGTGTGATGCAGTCACAACAAAGGCTTTATTTAGCCAATCCCATTGAGAGTTCCTGAGCTGTGATGACCCTGCAGAGTTGTCCCAATTGGGGCAAGAGACCACACCTTATATCCCTGCACTGACCAGTCATGGTGACACAGGATGTATGCCCCTAGAAAGGAGGCATGACCTTGGGTAGGGTAGGTATCTTTAAGAAAGAACAATCCCTGGAAAGGAGAAGTCAGTTGCAGGCTGTCAGCTGTCAATCCAATCATCCCAGCAGCTGGGAGAATAAATACTTTAGTCCTGAAGTCGGGTGGAGGTTAGGAGGCAGATATGAGTGGCACAACACAGCATCCACTACAACTTCCAAATCATGTTCCAACTGGAGAATGTAACTAAACTTTTAATAAAGTCCCACTGAACATCACTATGCACAATGCATTGTGTTAGAAGGTGGAGAATTCAACATGAAATAAGATGGGCCCTGCCCTCAAGAAGCTTCCAGACATGTGGGCAGTCACTAATTACCACAAATGTAGTGGCTTAAAACAATACTCTTTGACTTCTGGTTTCTGTTAGAAGTCTTCACTCTGTCCTGTACTGTCCTAAAACAAGTAAAAGGCTGAGCAAACTAAAAAATCATCCAATCTTCTTAACTCCATCAGAGAATTGAGGTCACGGGACAGACCGCTGACCCAAAAATTGGAGACAGGCAGATTCAGAGAATCACAACTTCCTGGAGCAGAAACCTCTGTGGGAACCAGTGCCAGGGTAAGATACTCATTGTAACAAGTGTTTATCATTGTGGTGTTGATAGTTGGCGGGGAGGGGGTGTTGTGGGTGTGTGTGGACAGAGGCTATGTGGGAACGCTCTGTTCTTTCTGCTCAATTCTGTTATGAACCTAAAACTGCTGTAAAAAAAAGTTTATGAATTTTTTTAAAAGTGAAAAATACCCATTTATTATCTCACAGGTCTGTAGGTCAAAAATATGGGTAGACTAGACTGAGTTCTCTGCTTACCACCTCATAATGCCAAAATAAGGTGTGGGCATGGCTAGGCTATTACCTGAAGGCTCTAGAGAATACATGTCCAAGGTCATTGTGACTGTTAGCAGAATTGAGTTCCTTGCAAGTGTAGGACTGAAGTTCCCATTTCCTTGCTGGCTGTCGGCTAGGGATTGCTTTCAGCTCTTAGAAGCTGCCAGATTCCTTGCCATATGGCCCCTTCATTTTAAAATAAAGCCACTACAAACAGTACATCGTCTTTCTCAAGCTCAGAATCTGACTTCCTCTTTGCCAGAAAACTCTGGTTTGTAGATTTTCATGTGATTTGGTTCTGACCACCCAAATAATCACCCTTTGAAAAGGTTCAGCTGTGTCTTGTCACGTAATCTAGTCATGGGAGTAAAATCCGTTATAGTAACAGTCCTATGGATTTGGGCGGGAAACCTTGGCGGCCATTTTGCAACTCTGCCTACCACAACCATGATGACATGTTGATGGGATACCTTGGTAAAGGGAGGTCTGGTGGCTGCTTTTGCCTTCCTCAATAGAAATGGAGAGTACGGAGTCTGAGGGGAGAGATTTTAGGATGAAGAAACTGGATTGATTAGCTCTATGGGCTTAGCAGTCTGGGAAGTGGAACAGAGGGGGAGGAGTTTGGTTTGAGGTTCTTTTGGGTGAGCTGCACAAAAGGACCAGAGGTCAAGGGAGATGACAGGCTGAACTGATGGACCACAGAACGTAGGGCCAGAAACAGAAGAGAAACCTGGAGTGAAGGAGAAGCGAGAGACAGGAATTAATTTGCCAAGGGCTGCAGGGGATGGTGAGATTCCAGTTAAAGCAGGAAGTGGAGGAAGACTTCAGTAAGAGGTTAAACATTCGGAGCAGTGGTTCTCCAAGTCTGGTCCCCAGACCAACAGCATCAAAATCATTTGGAAACTTGTCAGAAATGCAAATTCCCCAGTCCATCCCAGACCTAGTAAATCAGAAATTCTGAAACTCTAGGAGTAGGGCACAGGAACCTGTTTTAGCAAGCACTCCAGGTGATTTTGATGCCTGATAAGTTTGAGAATCATTGATATTCTTCTTCCATATTGTAGTAGAATATGTTTATCATGAATGGGATTCCATTCCAGCAGGAGAAAGAAAATTCCTGGAAGAATTTTCTGCTGCATGCTGAGTTAGGATGCCATGGATAAGATAAGTGTGTGGCATAGCTGAATTAACTGGTCTTAGGGTTTTCAGAAATAAGTCCTGGCCATTCCAATCTGGACCGGTTGTGTTACTTAGATAAACTTTCTAAGGCCAAGACTAGGAGCAGTTACTGAAGAGAATCAGAGGAGGAGCCAGCGTGGCCTGCATCGGTTATTCTTTAAAGAGGGGGGCATCCGACCCCCAAGAAAGAGGCAGAAGGGGGGAGTAGTGAGTTCCTAGGACCCTGAATGATACAAGCAGCAACAGACCCTGGTGGAGATGGAGGGACACTCACGAGCAAGATCTTACTCCACTTGGCTCAGCAAAGGACAGACACCCTCCCCTAGCTGCAGGCACCACCCCAGCCTGCTGAGCTCCCTCAGCTGCAGCACAGTCAAAGCTAGAAGTTCTCAGGTGGGCTGTGCGTAGCCAACAGATTGAGGATGTATTTTGGGATGTGGGTAGCTGACCCAGTGAAGTAATCCCTATATCATTATAATTTTTCTGAATTTGTTATTCTGGGAATAATCATCATGGGACAATGGCAATAAGATCCAAGCAAGTAAAACAGATGATTTTTCATTGTTGTTATAGAATATCTCACCCCCCCTGAAAAAATTCAACGCATCATGCCATGGGTTTATGAACACAGGCCTTGTGTGTGCAGCAAGGCCTAACATGCTTTATACCATTGAGTTAAAAAATGAAAAAAACCATGCAGACAAATGTGTATAGTATGCATGTATAGTAATTTTATGTTAAAAAAGAGAAAAAAAAATTTGCTTGTGATATATGAAATATTTCTAGATGATCTCACAAGAAACTGGTAACATTGTTAGCCATTAGGGAAGGGAACTGAGTAGCTGGGGGAGAGAGGAGAAAGGTTTTTCATAATTAAATCTTATGTACCTTTTAAATTTGGACCATGTAAGTATATTATGATTCAAAAATAAATAAATGAATATTTTTTAAATAAAAAAAATAATCAGCTTTTATTGTCCTCAACAACAGAGAGAGTCAAGCCTGAAGCCTGTGGGAATTAAGTGCCCCACCGTGGAGGGTGGAAGCTGCGGCAGCATCTGGAGGAGCTTCCTCCAAGATTCCTTGGTCCAGCCACCCTGGCAGAGGCATTTCTGAGGAATCACAAGTTGCAGTGATCAGCAGGGAGGAGGACACTGAAAAAAGATGTCCTGCCTGAAATCAGCCACTGTGCAGAGCTAGCACCCGGGAAGACACAACCCCCTCTCCTGTGGGTCACATCTTTACTGGAAAGTAGGTGGGAATTCACACGAGTAACACCAAATATCCTCTTCTCTTGGTGTCTCTCTCTCGTTTCTCTCCGATTCCACATTCCTCTGATCTTTGGCCACAGGGTTTGATTTTTGAGAAGAGAATGTTGAACAAGTCAATTTCTTGTCAATCCGAGTCTGAACTCTCATTTGACTTGGAAGACTTATGCTTTCGTTTTTTCTTCTTTTTCTTTTCTTTCTTCTTTTTCTTATGCTTTTCTTTCTTCTTCTTTTTCTTGTGTTTCTCTTTACATTCTGAGGAACTAGAACTGCTCCCATCTTCATCTGAGGTGGAATCCTCCAGTAACTGTTTTAACTGCTGTATCCTAAACATGTCAGATTGACCAAAGAATCATATTTAACTTAAAAAAATTTTTTTAGATAAAAATATAAGAGCAGTAGTGAGGGTAAAAAATGTCATGAATAACCACCTTACTAAAGACAGTATTTCTATTTTTGCATGTTTTCTCCATTCTTGTCCACATCCAGGCCTATTTTACATTAATGTAACCAGTGTACAAACCATTTTGTCTTCTTTTTATTGTCCTAAACATTTCTGCATGTTTCTATAGTCCTTACTATTATAACTTCTAACAGATGCATACTTTCCTAAATCATTCCCCCACTGCTCAACTTCATACTAGGTGATCTACCTCCTCAACAATTATAACTCAGTACCACCAATTTGAAAAAAACTTTTGTTTTTTCACCCTATCTTTATTCACGTCAAAGAATAATTTTTAGCAATAGCTCAGATCCTTAAAGACATTAGAGAAAATAAACTAAATCTCTTGAAAGAGAATCAATCATATAGTAGACCTAGACACTACAATGTGGGTTGCCAACATCAACTATCAGTGGTGTCAGCGGGCTGTGCCAAGCCCACTGCTTTAAGCTAACTCAAGTAGAACAAGGCTGGCCTGCTCATTCCCCACACACTGGCCTTTTCAGTGATTACTCCTGCCCTCTATATATTTCACAAAGTACCATACTTAGTAAACCACTCATCTAATACGTTGTTTCCAACTTTATGTAATTTGAAACTTTAAAGAGGGTATTGTTATCATCAGGACGACCTCACCTTACATCCTTTTCATGTCTTTTATTCTCTCGTATGATGTCATACATGGGATCTTCATGTGCCTTAAGGGTCAGAAAAGGTTAAGGTTGCAAAAAAAAAAAAAAAGGTTAAGTTTGGATTAGGCTTCATGGACTGTTAGTTAAATAAAAATTAAATCCCTATGTTACTAAAACCAGTTATTTTTTTCCAGTTTGGTATAGTTTTTTGTTCAGTATGTTCTAATCCTTCCTAAGAGTCACCATCACTGCAAACTCATTGAGGCTACGAAAAGGATTTTCCAATTAGAAAAATGTAGGATATAATTTAAAATATCCTATAGGAAATAAACCTTGGCGGAATCATGAAATACTATTCAAGGTAGAAATATTGAAGTAATTCTTTGTTCTATGTCAATAGATGACAAAGAGACAGTATTAAGAAAAATAAGTGAATTACAAAATGATATATACAGGAATGAAACATTTATAGGTACACAAAAATATAAGTTAAGTACTCCAAACAAAGTCTGGAAGTATAGATAATTTAAAATGACTTGAATTACTTAAAAATAAGAATACATGTAGGGAAATGTTATGCTATGTGAATTATCTCAATTTTAAAAAAGAATGTTTATTGTAGAAATTTTAGATGTTATCAAAAAAATAAATTAAAAAAAATCTATTACCTCATTACCCAAGGATAATTACTATTAACGTTTGGTCTCTTTCTTTCAATCATTATTCATAATTTATGAAAAATTATATGTACAACTCTATTGCTTTTCACTTACATTTTCATGAACCTTTTCCCATGACATTACACATTCTTCTAAAACATAATTCCTAATGGCTAAATAATTTGTATATTACAGTAATTTATGTCGATATGTTTGACTATTAAGTTTCCTATTTTTCCTTAGTTTCCATTGTTTCCAATATATAAATAATTATGAAAGTTATCCTTATACATACATAAACAGTTGTGTATATACTGATGTTCTCTTATATCCTGAAGGTAAATTCTTAGAAGTGGGATTTCTGAGTCAAAAAAGAAAATGAATATGTTGAAAGTTTTTCAGATTTATCACCAAACTGTTTTAAACTATCTGTAAAAATTGATATTCCACCTAGAATTGGGATAATTCATCCAAAACAAGTTATTTCATATTATTAAAATGAAAACACAGTATTTTAAATTTCTTAAAAACTTTGGAGAATGTCTGTTGATCCCAGTTTGATATATGCTGATAACCTCAGTACATCCAGATAGCAGCATATTTCACTTGGCAGAAGCAGTTACTGAATGGTGAACTAACACCTCTGAGAGGTGACTCTGTTCAAGTGAGGAAAGGATAGATCTATTTTACTGTCATCTAAAGAGCATATAGGGGCCGGCCCAGTGGCGCAAGCGGTTAAGTGCGCGCGCTCTGCTGCGGCGGCCCGGGGTTCGCTGGTTCGGATCCCGGGCGCGCACCGATGCACTGCTTGGCAAGCCATGCTGTGGCGGCGTCCCATATAAAGTGGAGGAAGATGGGCACAGATGTTAGCCCAGGGCCGTCTTCCTCAGCAAAAAAAGAGGAGGATTGGCAGATGTTAGCACAGGGCTGATCTCCTCACAAAAAGAAAAATAAAAAAAATAAAGAGCATATATAATTTACACACTTCTAGCTTATAATTTAAAGACATCTAATATTAGATACAGACTGGGAAATTAAAACCCTGATTTTAGTTATGAAACATGACTTTTTATATAATAAGTTAAAAAAAGTGATTGAATAAATAACAATGTCTGCCTCAGAAAAAGAATCACTATTATAAGCAAATAACGCTTTAATAAGAAGTTAGTTTTTTGTTAAAGAACTAATCTGTCAGACAAATGTAATTGAACAGAGATGTAGTTAACAACAGATACTTTACCAAAAGGCTTCTGGGAATGTATTTTATGTGAACTTCCAGTTCACTGATTGCTGCTTGATTCACTGATATTCACTATCTCTGATAAATGTAAATTGAGGGCCAGCCCCGTGGCTTAGCAGTTAAGTGCGCGTGCTCCGCTGCTGGCGGCCTGGGTTCGGATCCCCGGCGCACACCAATGCACAACTTCTCCAGCCATGCTGAGGCTGCGTCCCACATACAGCAACTAGAAGGATGTGCAACTATGACATACAACTATCTATTGGGGCTTTGGGGAAAGAAAAGGAGGAGGATTGGCAATAGATGTTAGCTCAGGGCCAGCGTTCCTTGGCAAAAAGAGGATGATTAGCATGGATGTTAGCTCAGGGCTGATCTTCTTCACACACACACGAAAAATAATAAAGTGAACAATTAAAAAAATTTTTTTTTTAAAAAAAAAATGTAAATTGACATGATGGGATTCTACTTACTACTCTGAACTGTTCTAACTTTTGGTTGCCTTTGATAAAAAAAGGGCATTCTTTGTCGCCTGTTCGGTGACCATATCGTTTACAACGCCAACCTAAAAACAAACAAAAAGGAAATATTTCTGTAAGATAATACAGTTTCATTTAATGAAGAATCAGTAGAACATATTAAAGTTTTTCTTCATTAAACTCTAATTCTGAAAGCAAATGCAGTCAGTGGATGAACCATGTAAGATCCTAGAAAATAAAGGGAAACTGCTTTCCCAAGCATCCTTTAATCTTTTAGCTTTAGGAATAAATATTACCACACCAGGTATTAATTAAGTAATCCAATGTAAAAGTACTATAAAGAGTGAATTTATTTATTTTTAGTCTGTAGCTTACTGTATTTTACAAAAACTAAACCTTTTCATCAAGTGACTCTGATTCTCATTTATAATTTTAGACACTAGAGCAAATAGCTTCTTTCTCTGATTGAATCAACCACTGTACAAATCCATCATTTTTAACTAAACAAAATCATGAATTCTCTTAAGATGTTAATTCCATCAGCACGCTAATACAACTTTACCTGCTGAACAGGGAAATTGTCCTCTTAAAGAGGTTTATTATTAGATGCAGCAGAATGCCCTGATGAGTAGCTGGGAGGAGACATAATAAGAAAATGAATATACAAGTTTCAGGGCAATAGAGAGAAACATACATCTTCGTGGAATTTCAGTGACTATGGACTTGGCATCAGGCATTGAGATGTCGGAAAAATTAAGTGATGAACAAAGCAGGAATGGATGAGATCCTTGTTATTTCTCTCACCTGTTTTCATCCTCTCAGAACCATCTGGATTTGAAGCAAATCAGGATGTCAGATGAGAATGGTGAGCTAAATGAGACCGTGTGTTTGGACATTAAGCAGCTCCAACCGAGGAGGTCAGGAAACATGAATAGGGATTATAGCTAAGATCAAGCCAGTTTTGCTCCATGCTGGCAATTACTGAATGTAGTGAAAGAGAAGGAAAGTTTTTCCCTTTTTAATTTTGAGGGTTAGATGGAAAAAACCAATGAAAAAAATGAAGTTTGGGGATTCTTTATTGCTTGCCTCTGACCTGTCCTTGTGTTTGTCTCCCCCAACATTTAAAGTTCAGGAAAAGATTACATTTCTTCAAACCAATGTCTTTGTGCTGAAGACTCTTACTGTTAAAGGAAAGGTGATTCTTGCAATTCAAAATGTGGTCAATGGACAAGCAAAATTGGCAACACATGGGAGATTGTTAGAAATGCAGAGCATTAGGTCTACCGCAGAAATACACATATTTGAGTTTCAAAAGATTTATTGGTGATCTGTAGACATATTCAAGTTTGAGAACCTCTGTTCTAGATAACACTACAATCAATAAAATCAATCAAAGTATGTATACGTATATGTGTCTTTTATCCCATCTGGGATGAGTCCAAGTTTTGTGGGGCCTGAGCTTAAATTATTGAGGGGGGGGGCTCTTTAGGAAAAATAAATATCTTGCCTTGGCAAATTTTATAAAATCATATGACCATATCAGCACATCGCTGCAGTCCCTGCAAGCCTTTGAAAGGCACAAGTAGCTTTGTACTTGAAACTTTGTACTTGTACTCTGAAGCTTAAGCTTCACTTACTTCTTGGTAAAACTGACTCTGGTCCCAACCCAAACACTCTTATTTTCTAAGTCAGTGAAAATAACTATAAAATGGTAAGTGAAATGCAACTAACCACTTCATCAAACAGAGCAATGGTTTTCAAACTTGAAAAAAAAAAGTTGTAGACTGGGTAAAGAGGACAAACTAAACACATTCATCTGCTTTCATTCCATTCCTGAGATTCCATAAAAATGACCATGAAGAGAATTCTTTTCAAAACGAATAAACCAAGAAGTACCTCAGGAATGGTCAAGTGACAACCTCCATAAAAGGACTGAAAATAGTTGCAAATACGCTCAAATCAACTTATTTGAAACCCTGAAAATTAAGCAAAGGCTTGCCACAATCTGAGGATCATTAATTGAAGAAAAACTAGTGAACCTTAATAAGAACAGCACGATTCTGGCATTTTAATTGGGCCTACTCCCAACCTTGTCTCCCCACTTCCACAATAGTCTTGAAAACCAGCAGCCTTGCAACCATGACAGCTATGAAAAGCAGCAGCCTCACACCCACTGAAGGGGGAAGATTGGGTTTTGAGCCCCTCAAAAAGCCCTAATCCCAGAGCACAGAGCCACACTGACACAGGGTTTTGTTGCTCTTTGACCGGTCATGTGGTTCACTCTACAGGAAAAGCCCTATCCCCAGAATATTTGTCAAAAACAATCACCTGCAATTGTTTAACATCACAGCTGCCTATGCCTGTGATATTACTGAGTAAACAAGAAGCCAGCCAAAAATTTAGAAGGAAGATCTGGGGAATCATATGTCCATAGAGGGCATTCAAAAATTCTGACATAATCCTGGGAAGCTAGAAGGCTGTGCACATGTGCAGGGCTGTGTGCATGCACAGTGAAGGCCTTATTCTCTCACTGCTCCCTCACCGGGAGGCCCTGTACAAGCAGGCACTAAAGGCTAAAGCAGACATGTAAACTGCATGAGCATTTGAAGGCAAGCCATAACACACACATAAACCTCTTGGCAAAGCATAGAAGGCTTCTTGGATCAAGGCATTTAAGGAAATCTCTGTCAAATTATTAGCTGACCACTCAGCTAACTGAGCAGAGACTTCAGTGGCCATTCACTACAGGGAATACAGACTTAAAAAAATCAGTCCAGGAAAGTCACTAAAAATACAAAAAGAAACAACAAACTTTGGGTACAAGGGGGAATCTGATTTCCAGACCACTTTATAGTATCTAAAACGTCCAGTTTTCTGGGCCAGCCCCATGGCTTAGCAGTTAAGTGCGCGCACTCCGCTGCTGGCGGCCCGGGTTCGGATCCCGGGCGCGCACCGACGCACCGCTTCTCCGGCCATGCTGAGGCCACATCCCACATGCAGCAACTAGAAGGATGTGCAGCTATGACATACAACTATCTACTGGGGCTCTGGGGGAAAAAAATAAATAATTTAAAAAAATAAATAAAATGTCCAGTTTTCACCAAAAAATTATAAAACACACAGAGAAACAGTAAAGTAAGTCCAGCTATTGGACTCACTAGCCAAAGACTTTAAATCAGCTGTTATAAAGAGGTTCAAAGAACTAAAGGAAATTATGTCTAAAGAATTAAAGGAAAGTATGAAAATGATGCTGCACCCAATAGAGATTATCAATAAAAAGATATACATTATAAAAAAGAATCAAAAAGAAATTCTAGAGTTGAAAAAGACAACAATCAAAATGAAAAATTAACTGGGTCTTAACAACAGATTTGAGATGGCAGAACAAGAATAAGCAAACCTGAAAATAAGTCACAATTGAGATTATCCAGTCTGAGGAACAGAAAGAAAAAAGAATGAAGAAAACTAACCAGAGCATCGGAGACCTGTGGGATACCATCAAGTTTTGTAGCATACACATAATGAGAATCTCAGGAAAAAAAGAGTGCTAGAGAGTGCAGAAACAATATTTGAAAAAATAATGGCCCAAACTTCCTAAATTTGATGAAAAACGTTGATCTACAAATCCAGGAACCTCAATGAAGTCCAAGTAGGATGAATTCAAAGAGAACCATCACAGGCAAACTGTTAAAAGCCAAAGATAACAAGAGAATTTTGAAAGCATTGAGAAAAGACAACTCATCACATACAAGCAGTCCTCAATAAGATTAACAGCTGACTTCACATCACAAACCATGGAGACCAGAAGGCAGTGGAATGACATATTCAAAGTGCTGAAAGAAAAAGACTATCAAACAAGATTTCTATACCCAGCAAAACTATCATTCATAAATAAAGGAGAAATTAAGATATTCTAAGATAAACAAAATCTGAGAGAATTTATTGCTAGTAGACTTACCCTACAAAAAAATAATAACGCTGAAATGATGAAAGGACACTAGGCAGTAATTTGAATCCACATGAAATACAAGCACTGGCAAAGGTAACTACATAGGTATGAACTGGTGTGAAAACTGGACAGTGAAGAAGGCTGACAGAAGAAAAACTGATTCATTTAAAATATGGCGTTCTATGAGGAGAGCTCTATGAATATCCTGGACTGCCAGAAAGACAAACAAGTGGGTCCTAGAGCAAATTAAGCCTGAACTATCGCTGGAGGCAAAAATGATAAAACTGAGGCTATCGTACTTTTGGGCACACCAAGAGAAGGCAGGATTCTTTGGAAAAGGACAATAATACTGGGAAAAGTAGAAGGCAGTAGGAAAGAGGAAGACCAAGTATGAGATGGACTGACTCCATAAAGGAAGCCATAGGCATGAGTCTACAGAAGCTAAGTAGCTGTTGAGGATTGGACATTGTGGACATCACTCAATTCATAGGGTCTCCAGGAGTCAGAGCCAGTAGCTTGACAGTACGTAATGACAGATTATAAAAGACCGTATAAGTATATTTTTGGTAACTCTTTTATTCTCTTATCTCTCTCTTTTTTTTTTTAAAGGCCTAACTCTCATTCCACCAGCCCATCAGGCATTCTTTTTTTTTTTTTTTTGTGAGGAAGATCAGCCCTGAGCTAACATCCATGCTAATCCTCCTCTATTTGCTGTGGAAGACCGGCTCTGAGCTAACATCCAAGCCAATCCTCCTCCTTTTTTTTTTTTCTCCCCCCAAAGCCCCAGTAGATAGTTGTATGTCATAGCTGCACATCCTTCTAGTTGCTGTATGTGGGACGTGGCCTCAGCATGGCCAGAGAAGCAGTGCATCAGTGTGCGCCCGGGATCCAAACCCAGGCCACCAGTAGCGGAGCGCGCACACTTAACCGCTAAGCCACGGGGCCAGCCGTCTTATCTCTTTTTAAACACAACTACACAGAGAAATAATTATAAAACAGCGATGATGGGCTTATAATGTATAAACATGTATGACAATATTAGCACAAAAGGGAGAGAAAGGAGCTACATAGGAACAAAGTTTCTGTATGCTATTGAAAGTACAGTAGTATTAATCTAAACTAAAATCAAAAGGCAGA